CGACCGTCTGTGTACACCATACATTCCCGTCGAGACTTCCTCGCATCTGTGTTTCGCCGGATATGCGGCCACGATCTCGAACGGGCTGTTCCTTTTCGCGTTTACTCTGTTTACCTCTGAGCCTGTGCAGAGAAAACGAATATTTGTCAAAGAGAACCTTTTGGAATTGTGGAAGCTCTTGTCTTTGCACAAAGGGCTAAATCAAGAGTTGAGAATTATTTGGAAAGTAATTCGTACGCTACCTTTAACATTAGCGATAAGCACTATAAATTTTGAAGTCATAAAGAGAAAGCAAGAATTTTAAGAAGAACGATTGAAATATTGTGCTTCACATCGCTTGCTCTCAGCTATGGAAAAACATAGTACTATGTCAAGAATTAATAAGTCTATGGAAAAGTATTAAAGAATTATGGGAGATAGAAGACATTTTAATACTAACTAATTATATCTTCTTTTACACGTATCAAGAAAAAAAAACTTTTTTTTCTTTAATTGTATTATACATTAATTTAAGAGTAGGAATCTACGATTGTATTTCTATTTGTTGGAGGTGTTCCTCTATTTCGAAATTTACTGGACGAAGGAGTTTATTTCAAAGTATCGGACCAATGATTAAATTTGCAATTTCCACTCATTGCAAAAAAGTAGCATTCGTTATTGCAGGTTTAACATATCTTATTAATTCGTAGTTCTTCAAGTTATCCAGAGCGTTCGCCTCAAAAATTTATTCGCTTAGCCTTGAAACAATTGTTAGCATTGTAACAAGAATTTCTTACCGAAATACAATTGTTGCTGCAAGTACTGCAGAAACTGGAGACTAAGTTAAGATCAAAATTAGAACACGTACTTTTCAAATATATACATGTACAGTACAAAATGTAATCAAGAAGCCTTTGTCCTTTGCTATTAATTTTATATAAATTATATAGAAGCAAAATCATATCCTACCGTGTCCAGATAAATTCTATTGTATAATAAAATTGCACAAAGATCAGAGTAAAGCGTGTAATATGATGAAGAACAATCGAGAAACAATAGTTAGACTGTTACCAACCGGATATTTTTACTCCTAGCGACAAAACTCAGCCTTCTAACCTGTTGTTAGTCTCGCGAACAGACAAACGAATCTTTTATTTTCAATTCGACCAGAATATTCGGATACATATTCAGAGAGATTTAATCTTTAATTAACATCGGAAGGAAGCATTGGAAGCCATAATTGATTAGGCTACACCCAATTAGGCATACAGCCATAACTTACATTATTTAATTTTGGAATTTTTAATTTAAATTTTATTACTGAATCTCCATTAGGGAAGGTATAAAACACAAATTCATCATCTGTAATTCAACAATACTATTTGGGAGTTAAAATAAATTTTTACAATTTTATATCCTAATTAAATACAAATTACAATTAGGTACCTTAAATTTTGGTAATCTTAATTTAATTTAATGTCTGCAGTATTCGTATTTAATTACTGTGGTCATCTCAACGACACTACCTGAAGGTTAAAATCATTTTTACAATTTCACGTGTTAAACGATTCATTGGAACTAGTCGCAAATCGTTTAGTCTATCTAGTTAAACAGCCATTATTCAACAGAAAGTAAAGTTTGAAATGCAGCGTAATGCAGCTCGCAATTTCAAGTGAATGTATTTGCACAAATTCACTCTATGGCGTCTAGGGGTTTAATCGCTTCGAATTGAGTTTCAGAAAATTATTCGGAGAATCGAAGCGACTTTGAATGTTGTCAAGAACGTGTATGTCACGTTGAATGAAGTCATTAAAGGTATTTTCTTGGCCGTTGTTCGAAAGACTGGACTCATGTTAATTCGAACTTGTCACGATTTCACTACGTAACAACGTCAACGAATATATAATCTTTCACGATTCATTTGCAAGTTGATATATCGCTCAATCTTCCTCTCTGGTCTATCTTTGCGAATCAATTACATTGGTGTACGTGAAATCTCTTATTTCAAAATAAGTGTTTGATCAAATATATCTGTTTTAAAATGTCATACACTGAGTCAATTTTCCACATATATTTGACGAATAATGAATATTCTTGTTCTAGTCAATTATTAATTCTGCAATGCAAAAATATTCGGGACGAATCTGTTACAATTTCTTAGATATAATTTCATATTAGAACAGAAATTTATTAGTTGAAAAATTGTCTGGATAGAATGGGAGGCTCTTTATAACTTTTCTTAAACACGCAAACAATAAACACATCATATAAAGGATATTTTGATTATTCGTAATGACCTAATGAGATTTTTTTTATTATAAATCTTCTAAACTTCAAACATAATCTATTCTTTTCTTCATATAATTAAACGAAAATTTAATCGACGATATTGGCTTATCAAATTGAAACTCTAGAGAAACGAAATTTCACCTGCACCAATCTAATGCAAACACGAACGACGGGGAAAGGCTTCGTTCTTCGCGTAAAAAGGTATGTAATGATCTTTGAATCATCGGATCGTCGGATGAGCACACTGCCCCAATTTTCTAAATATACCTTTACTCTCTCGTTCGAACTGAATTCCCTTAAGTATCGCCGGTTGAAAGTTCTTGACTTCTCGATCGTGAGTTTAACATTCGTAAACAGAATCGTTGAACAGCTTGGAAAATATTGACCACTTGATCGTCGATGATACGTGATCGATGTTCTTAATGATCAGTGCGCTTGGTAGCCGTTTTGTTCGCTGCTACTGAAACGCTTGCTACTCATAATGTTAGACGTATATTTTGTATACTTGTTACGTTGAATGCTGGTAGTTGCCAACTGAATTGTGAAACAAACAGTTTCAAAGGAAAGATGCGTACAAGCCAATGAGACGATTTTGGATTTGACAGCATATGATATCGTTCAATAATGTTGCCGGTTTTTCTTTTCTATGAAATATCATATTCTCTGCACGTGTAGCAAGACAAATAAATGTAGCCATATTTTACAAAGAAATTACGAAGCAGTGTGATTCAGGCAATTTTCTTGCTCTAACTTGATGAAAGATATTTTAAATATATCTATATTTATTACATATAACGAATTGAAGTTTGATGTCAAATTTGAATTGAAATCTTTGAATTAGAATCTCTAAAATCGAATTAAAATTTTTTGATCCTTTCCAGTCGTACTTTTGATATTATTCGTTAAATTTTTAATTGAATTAATTGAATAATAAATTATAGAAAATTTATAAGGTAGTCTATCTCTTTCATATATAAATCAAAACACAAAAACATTAAATTACTCTAATTTTTAAAAGTTTTTATTCAACTAGATTAACAACTATTTTAAGTAATAAACCAATGATAATTTTTCAGTTATAAAAACTTTAATGTTCAACGATTACATTCTTCAGGGTTTTCTCGTCGAACTAGATTGTAGAGTTCAATAATAGTAACTAAACTGAAAGGCTGCATGCAATATGTCTCCGGTTATATCCATTGCTGCTCTATAATTACGAGCGTTGATCGAGTCAGGACAGAGGCAACAGGTGGACTCTAAAATGCTCGCTAGAGATTTCTCAATAACGATCCTGCGTCTGAATTAAGTCGCGATTTGATATACTCTCCAATCTAGATTGTTACGTTTTGGAGAATCGATTTAAACAACCACCACGAATGAGAAAGAATAATAAAAAAATCATACTCGATCAGTTGATAATTTCGATAAATGAAATTCTGCGAAAATCAGAATGTATCAAATTTTATCACTTACTATGTCGGTATTGTTAACAAGTTTTTATTTTTATTACATTATTGTGTAATTCACAGTTTGCACAATTATTCATGTAACATCAGATCACACGCAGTGGCTCGTCTTATTAAAATTCAAATTAATGAAATGACGCATTCGTGGTTGATTATTTTTCATAATACAAGAATGAATAGAAGAAGTCAAAATTATTCTATATGCTTCGCTCGTTATACGTAACTCTGAATTACCTGCCGAAATAATTCCTTTCAAGAATAGATCGATTTCAAATGTTAACGTGATTTACGTGATATCGACGCACGGTATTCAGGTCGCCAACGATCATTAAGTCGTTCCGTTTCGAGCACAATACCATTTCCGAGAATACGTTACGATCCATAAACAATGGGATCTGGCCTGATTCGAAAGATCTAAATAAGAATCGCCTTCCTGATCTATGTTACACTAGCGTGTAAACTGCCGCGTGTGTAATGTCGTTGCCGGAAATTAATTAACAAAACAAATAGCTTTTGAAACATATCCGACGTATCCACAGTGTACAGGTGAAGTAAGTTTTCAACGAACGATAAATCGAATCGTACTAGCTCCTCTTCGGATGCGAAGCGTCCGTCCCGAACAGAATTCGGATCGTTTAAAATAACCGATCAGAAAGTAGCACGGCAGTGAATTCGAGTAGACGATACCGGCCTGTGTGTGTCGCCTTTCATATTTCCACTTTGCGGCAAGTTTGCAATATTGTCCTTTCTGGTACATGATACTCACGTGAGTTATAATAAATCAGGGTAACGCATACGAAATGATTCCTCCGAGTTCGAGTTCGATAAAAATTGGAATTGCTGATTTGTATCGATGTAACTAGGAAAGTAGATTATAACAATCTGTGGTTTGTTCTTTCTGCGGATGTTAGAAAGTTTTGTTTATGTTCACCAGTTAGATTTTTACGATCGAAGAAATGAATATTATCAATATTATCAAGGGAATAATAATTCTTAACACACGATTGAAAATTGAATTTGGTCTGCCTGTTTAGTAAAAGATTCAATTATACATAAATCTAATATTCACTTCATATTTCTAGTGAATCATCCTGATATTTCCGAGTGTGACTTGTGCCAAAAGTGATCGTCATATTTTTAGTACAATAAAACTATATACTTATTCTATTTAAAAATATCAAAACAATCAGAAGCATCGTTAACTTTCAAGTCATTGGATTATTGGGAACCATAATGATTTAGTATTAAATTGCTTAATTTTGAAACTTTTAATGTAATTGAATTTTATTGTTACTCTCTCTCATTTAAAATACAAAATATAAAATGAAAACAATCTGAATTTTGGTTATTTATCTAAATCTCTATCATGGGTTGGATACCCATGACTCAACCCATGATGCCACTTGGGAAATAAAAATGTATTTTTGACAATAGGCTACTAGTAACTTTTGAAAAATTGTCGAAGCACGAGTGTTCTATGGGAGAAATATTTGTAGAAAGTGACGCATATCACGTGGAATTCGTTTTTTGACAGCATCGTCCCTTCACCGTCCATGTAAAGACAGAATCAGACTCTGAAAATATGAAGCGCGTAATAGGTAAGCGATAAACGCTATAAACACTAAAACGCGACGCGATTCCCTCCCCATGATAAAAGAAGAAACTTTGACTCATCGTTCAAGATCGCCGGGAAAAACTTTTGGCCGATGGTTTTTGGCATTACCAGGAGAAACTCGGAATGACTAACTTGCTCTATTCTTGTCCGAACGTTATACACTTGTATCCAATGGGAAAGTGGGCTACAACGTATGAAATATCAATCCCTCCTCGGTCGTGCGTTAAACTCCTCTCCTGTAATGCTTCCTCGTTTTTCATTTGTGTATTTTTTCTTCAGTGTGTTACACTTGTTCCATCATTTTCATTGTTTTTTTTTTTAATTAATTACAATATATCTATTTATATTATTATTTCTATTGGTGTCATTTCCTTTTGTGTTTAATGTCATACATTCATCGTTTTGTTTTTTAATTAATATTTAATTTGGTTTCTCGTGGAGTTATGTATTTTTCATTTAGTATGTTCCTATGTTTATTTCATCCAAATAAATGTATATATGTGTGTGTGTAATGTATAGTATGCATTTATAGCTTTTCTTCATCAATGGTACTTTCAATTTGAGAATAAAAGCAATTTTTGTAATATTCAGTTGATTTATTAATAGCTTTGTTATTCATGTTCATTCCGATTTTAAATAACAATCCGATGATCTGATTCTAAGAAATAAAATGCAAGATCAGAAATTTATGTCGTATAATATGAAGTTCTCCTTGTCGCTATATAGTAATCGATATTATATATCAAGGTTACACAATTAATTTCAGAAATTTGTTTTAAATAACCAGTCCAAAAATATAAACAGATTGATTCTGATCCATTCGAACAATAAACATTTTCATATATATAAACCAATTTTTTATATTTTATATATATAAAACACCATACATCAATCAATCAATAATTAACGAACTCGTCTGATCTTCTTTTTACTTACTCATTTAATAACATTCGACCGGCACGATTTTCATATTGCGACACAAGCGTTCTCCAAAACTTTCACCAAATCCAATCGGGTTCCCTCGCTCGTTTCTGCACGATTGTCAGTAGTGTCAATGCCATTGACGATGACAAAGGGCCATCATCGTAAGTGTTACCCCATCCATGAAACACGTTGATCGAGTTCTCGCTCGCCTCTTCCCAAGTGGCTGCTCGCTGATATTTTTATTGCCTGTTCACTGCGTATTTATACGCCAGTGTTTCTATATCGGGAACGAAAATATTTCTAGGTGGATTCGCGTGCAAGAAGCCTCTGCTTTCCGTGATTTCGGCCGCCTGATTGAAGATCGATCTGCGACGGACACGGTTCATTCTCAGTGTCACCGGAAGATTTGACACTCACATCGGTTTAGATTCGACCTGTGAGCTGAGTTTGAGGATGAATCGTAAGGAAAGCTTGACGTTGAAAGGAAGAAACGTGTGCATTGGTTTATCGATTATTTTTCGAGTCGAGATATTCATAGCCACCGTATGCGTAACTAGGATATGTAAATAAGAAATTGAAAGGGAAACATAGGTAAATCGTTTAGAGAACTTTCGTTTAGAAAGTCATCGAAAGCTCTCTTGTGGCGCCATCATTGCCGAGAGTCATGAATTTAAGCTCCTGGAAGCCCCGATAGAACCTCGACCGATAACTTTGCGGGCGGTCCTTGTTTCTCGGCTACTGAACGGGTTGATTACCGTTTACCACAGCGAGTTCGATGGTTTTGGCTCGTTCTAGCCTGTGTCGAAAGTTGGCAGCACGAAATCAGTTTCGCGAAGAGGCTTCATCTATTTTACTTCACGTATAAGTAGATGTAGGCAAGTCTACTCTATCTACAGTAGCCTTAATCTAGTCCATGCAGATAAGTTGGAATTTTTCACAGACAAATTTTTTGGCAGACATAAGATTACATTTTCAAATGAAACCTAGTTTAGTGTTTTGATTTGAAATTTCAAACTGGGGATGACTCGATTTATTGCATCATTTCCTTATCGTATCCTTAATGTATTGTACAATTATATAATAATGTATTAAATGTTCTCATATAAATACATTGTAGTTCTTCAAAACATAGTACACACGTATTGCAGTGAGTAACAACACGACAAACGATATGATGTTGATAATTAAATTTAATGTATCGTCCGAGAGTCCAACTTGGAACACGCTCAAGTACTTTTTCGTTTCGAACCAACGATCCTCTTAATTTAATTCCAATGCGTACCTCGTCTCTGCTCCCTTGTTCGAGCATCCTCGAGACAACGTAATAACAATAATACCGAAAACAACAGCAGTGGCAACAATAACAATGACGTTATCAAATCAGCTCATCCTCGAAGGAGAAAGACGTCAATTAGGCAAATCTGTCGGTCGGTCCCACGGCTACGGCCAGTTGATATACACCGGGGCAATTAAAATCCTCGGGAATAATTCAACAAACTAGACGACGAGATTTCCTCAAGACAAGGCCAGGTCCCTCGTTATCAACGCCACTTTAATAATCGCTACCCCTTCAGACTTTAATCAACTCGCATTATGCGCCGGCTAATAATGATCTCGATGCACGAGATCGTTCCCTCTTCCTCGAGTGGCGTGGTTCCGCTCTCTAACCACATCGGGTCACCGGTTCGGTTTTCGAGTAACCCTCGAACTCCAACTGTAATTAGCTTTCGAAATCCAGGGAGAGGCTCTGCCTGGCCCGCCATGGAGACTAGGGACCAGACTTCGTTCTGATACTCGACAAGAAGGAAACGTCCTTCGTCTCCGAGTAAAACAATTCTCGGCGCTTTAATTCGCCCGACTTCCTGCCGTTCCGCCGTCTTTATTTCGCCTTTTCCCTCGTCCGATCCCAGTTTATCCCTGGCCGATCCGTGGCTCCGTGGTTCCGCGAGGATACACCAGCCGATTCCTGTAGATTTTCCATTTCGAAGGAGGAACAGTTCCGCGAGGAATACAAAGAGACAAGGCCCTGCAGGATCCGACAGTCGCCGACAAGGAGAACAACGCCAGCCGTACCGGCGTTGTTCTCGTTTCCTGGACAAAGACGCCCGTTTTGCCAGCAGTTTGTCTCCGCCGTCCGCCGGATTCCTCCGCGAAATCCTTCAGAGAATTCCGGCATCGCTGTATCCGTTCCTCACACACACACACACACACACACACACACACACACACACACACACACACA